ATCACGGGTTACGCAAAAGAGTGCAACACCGACGATGCGGATTCATTCATTCGTTCGTTGGTCGTTTCCTCGTGACCGAGCGCGATTCGAATGACGCGCACTGCACTGCGAAACGAGGCAGATCACCGATTATTTTTGTGTAAGGCGACTGATTATTCACGTCCGTTGTCCGGTTGCGGAACGAACGGGCTCGCCGCAACAGGTGGTTCTCTTTCCTCCGTCATATTGCAGAACGAGTGTACAACTCGTATATATAGGGTGTCGGTATATTCATGGAACAAAGCTTGGAATTAATATATATATATATATATATATATCTCGATTCAATTTATTTTATGTAAAGGATTGTGATTAAAGACTTTTGATGAGATATATATAGGGTGTCGATATATTCTTGGAATAAAGTTTGGAAGGAAATGGAGAAAGGAAAAAGCAAAAGTTGGTACATAAAAATTTCGGTTAAATTTATTTATTTTATTTAAAGGATTGTGATTAAAAAATTTTGATGAGATATATATAGGGTGTCGATATATTCGTGAAACAAAATTTGAAGGAAATAGAGAAAGGAAAAAGCAAAAGTTGGTACATAAAAATTTCGATTCAATTTATTTTATGTAAAGGACTATGATTAAAGAATTTTGATGAGATATATACAGGGTGTCGATAAATTCTTGGAACAATGTTTAGAGAAAATAGAGAAAGAAAGGAAAAAGCAAAAGTTGATACATAAAAATCTCTTTTATGTAAAAGATTGTAATTAAAGAATTTTGATGAGATATATACAGGGTGTCGATATATTCATGGAACAACGTTTGGAGAAAATAGAGAAAGAAAGGAAAAAGCAAAAGTTGGTACATAAAAATCTCGGTTAAATTTATTTTATGTAAAGGATTGTGATTAAAGAATTTTGATGAGATATATACAGGGTGTCGATATATTTGTGGAAGTTTGGAGGAAATGAAGAAAAAAAGCAAAAGTTGGTACATAAAAATCTCGGTTAAATTTATTTATTTTATTTAAAGGATTGTGATTAAAAAATTTTGATGAGATATATATAGGGTGTTGATATATTTGTGAAACAAAGTTTGAAAGAAATGGAGAAAGGAAAAAGCAAAAGTTGGTACATAAAAATCTCTTTTATATAAAAGATTGTAAAGAATTTTGATGAGATATATACAGGGTGTCAATATATTCATGGAACAATGTTTGGAGGAAATGAAGAAAGAAAAGAAAAAGCAAAAGTTGGTACATAAAAATCTCGGTTAAATTTATTTTATGTAAAGGATTGTGATTAAAGAATTTTGATAGATATATACAAGGTGTTGATATATTCGTGAAACAAAATTTGAAGGAAATGAAGAAAGGAAAAAGCAAAAGTTGGTATATAAAAATCTCGGTTAAATTTATTTTATGTAAAGGATTGTGATTAAAGAATTTTGATAGATATATACAAGGTGTTGATATATTCGTGAAACAAAATTTGAAGGAAATGAAGAAAGGAAAAAGCAAAAGTTGGTATATAAAAATCTCGGTTAAATTTATTTATTTTATTTAAAGGATTGTGATTAAAAAATTTTGATGAGATATATATAGGGTGTCTATATATTCGTGGAACAAAATTTGGAGGAAATGGAGAAAGGAAAAAGCAAAAGTTGATACATAAAAATCTCTTTTATGTAAAAGATTGTAATTAAAAAATTTTGATGAGATATATACAGGATGTCAATATATTCATGGAACAATGTTTGGAGAAAATGAAGGAAGAAAGGAAAAAGCAAAAGTTGGTACATAAAAATCTCTTTTATATAAAAGATTGTAATTAAAGAATTTTGATGAGATGTATACAAGGTGTTGATATATTCGTGAAACAAAGTTTGAAGGAAATGGAGAAAAAAAGAAAAAAGCAAAAGTTGGTATACATAAAAATCTCAATTAAATTAATTTTATATAAAGGATTGTGATTAAAGAGTTGTGATGGGATAAATCACGATATTAATTTTGTCGAAACAAAATTTTCTCGATAATAGAAAAATGTGGAATTCATAGTTGCAATGCAATTGAAAGTTAAGTTTAGATGAAATTAAGGTTAATTGAAAAAAGTATTTTATTAATTAAAATTAATATAAAAATATTTGAATAAAAATATTTGAATATCTATAGCTATTATAATAACAATTTATCGAAGTAATTTTAGTATCGATGATTAAGATTTTATTCATCTCTGACGAAGTGAAATTATTTATGACTTAATAAAATAAAATACTCGTACGATATTTTTGCATTACCAACTTTTTTTCGTTTTACCCACTAGAATAAATTTTCAAAAAATCGACGCTTCTACGCTTGATTTCTCACCGCTTCAAACGATCGTTAAATTTCTAATTTGTTTCTTTCAATACTTTCTGAAATAGAATATTATATTATATACAATTATTTTCGATATAAAAAAATCAAAAACAGGGTGAAAATTTATAATATACCACCTGTTTAATTGTAATATACACTTGGCCATTGTCGAACAAATCTTTGTATCGTCGTATTATTTTTATGATTCAGCAAACGAGTGGGAGGAAGGACAGGTTTATATGCGCGTGTACGATGATAAAATAGCGGTGAATCCATAAGAATTCGAATCGAAGCGTCAAATCGCAAAATCTCCAATGACATAACGTATGCGTCATCACCGTTCGAGCTATTTAACGATTATCGATCGTTTCTTTGGAAAAAAAATCGAGCGAGCGATTTATAAAATATGAGAGAAGAACAATATTCGTAATTATATTCAACTTGGTGGATTACCATCAATGTGGAATCGAACGTGTTTCTCTTTTTATTTATGATTCTGGATTAATTTCGTTTATCTTTCTTCCATATATCGTCTGTGAAATGTCGCTTCATTTTATATTTCGCTAAAGATATGAAATATTCGATAACTTTATCGTTTGACCTGACGGAGTCAAGATACGGAATTTCAAACATTTTGGATAAGATTTACATGTATTGTCTGGAAAAAGATTTCTGCATTCTATATTATTTTTTTCACGATGGATCGAAACATTTAATTCAACAATTACATAAAAATGGAGATTGAGAAATAATCGTGTTTCATTATGTGTTATTATATCCTATTACGAAGGATAAACATTAATGCTTAAGTTTCTCGCGTGTTGTGAAATGAAATGTTTTTTATTAGAAATTTTCACGGAAAATTCTTCTTCGTTATAATCGAGTGATTATTAAAGAGAATTACGAGAAATACGAGAAATGTTTCATTTATTAATTTTATTTTCTTTTATATAAAGCGTTTAGCACGATTAAGATATTTCCGATTAAGATAAATTTCTAACTACGTTCAACATTGTATTTTACTTTTCTTATTTCGAGAAACGAGCAATTTTAATTTAACGCCAGAAACGCCTGTACGCAGGCAACCAGTGGAGCGTCGGTGTATTCGAGCGACAAGGTAAAGAACGTTCAGTAACCTGTCACTGTATAGTGTGTACCATTTGCTTAATTCTTTAATGAAAAATTTTCGGAAAATTAATTTAGAAACAGTGAAAAATAATTTTTAATCGCACTTTGTATTTTAAACACGGATACTTATATTTTCTGCTCATTATATTTATCTTAAAATATCATCAGTGACTAATATAACGTATAATATTACAATAGTTATTTTTATGTATGAATAACTTTTCGATAAGAACTATGCGTTAGCATAGATCTCACTGTTCGCTGTTTACCATACTGTAACATTCGTTCATAGCTAGCTAGCTTATTTGTAAACACTTTTATACGAAATATCGCGTTTGAAGTATCAAGTGAAAATCTAATAAGCGATAAAACGAAACCGAAACTGGGCAAGTAAAAATTAAATGTAAGGGAGAAATATTTAAACCAAGATCGAAAGGAGATTAGATAGTAATAATGGTCTTATAAATTTATTAATATCTTTATGTTTCACTATTTTATTATTATTGTTTGCAAATTCATATTCGTGAGAGAATACGATATACACACAATAGTTTTTAATTAATAATTAATGGAATAAAATGTGTTTCAAATTCATGGAATTCCACGAAACATACCAATAACAAACGAACGTTGAAACTTAATGGCATTGCTCGTTCGTTACTCGTGTGTATCATATTACATAAGAAAAACATGGCGGTGTTATTCTCGATGCGAAGCGATAACCTTGTTCGTACGAAAAAGACGACTTCGAATACTTATTGTACGTTATTCATTCGTCTCAAAAATTATTCGAAATAAAAATTTTCTCGGCTCGATCGAAATGTGAATAAATTTTTTTTTTTTAAACAATATTCGTTAAAAATCGTTGCTCTTCGTTCACAGATACGGTGCTGGTGCAGCAAGTGGATTTTCTGGAGACCATTTTAGAAGAAACGTCCGACGATCTGCAAAGCGATTCCGATCGAAGTGGAACCACTTACTGGGTCGGCTCGGACTCCGAAACTGAAAGCGTGATACACATACGAGCGAATAGATTAGCTGGTAAGAAATACACGTGATACACGTTAAAGTGATATGCAAATTTTTCTTGGATTAAAAATTCTTTTAATCGAAACTCGCTATCGATTATAATTAAAGCAAAATTATCCAATAAGTCTAAAAATAAAACCAGAGAGTTTTTGGACGTCGAATATTAATTTGGCTAGATCGAATATGGTGGCCGTGTGCCATTTGTTTCATTATAATTAAAACGATCTCACGTTTGAAATTCTGTAACAACAGGTGTAACATGCTTTGGTAATATATATATATATATTAAATTTTTAAATCTTTTTAAATGTTGCAACAGTTTGTCCTAAATTTTATTTTGTTAATTTTGGTTGTATAGCCGATTAGATAATAATTACTATGATATAACTTCCACTATCTATATATAAGATTACCTCGAAAACGGTTCCAACAGTGATATTGAAGAACAAGTGAACGGTATTTCGTTTCGGAATACACGTTGCGAAACCTCATTCTCGCGTCTCGTCGGTATTCGTGATGGTGAACATTGTGTTCACCCGAGGTCCACTTTCTCTTTTCAGCTCCCGATCCCTCGATTCATTGACTCCCGAAGAATGAAATCGTATATTCGTATATCTTCATTCAAACCAACATTCCGTAACCCGTTTTCTTCTTGTATAACAAAAACGAAAACATTTACAAACTCATTTATGAAACCCGAGTGTGTCTATAAATAGATACAGTAACGAGAGAGTTCGTTGAATCTGTGTAATTCTTCGATTTTCGAAGATCGATTATGATATGGAATAAGAAAATTTTCGATTTGTTATTAAGAAAATATTATTTTTTATTTTTAATAATTACATTCAATATTTAAAAAAAAAAGTAATATTAGTGATATGTAAATATTTATTTGAATAAATATTTTTATTCAGTACTTCGTTTAATAAGGACAGGTTCGTTTACTCTTTGTTCTTCGAACTCGAATTTATCGTTCACGTAACGAGATTCGTATCCACGATGGTTATGCGACCGTTGTAACGTGTCGGTATGTCCGGTTGCTATGCTTCAGGCATCACGGGCGCTGCATCACGCGCGCTCTCCTTTTGCGGGAGCGGTCGTTTGTCGAAACGATTTTTCATCGGCGCGGAATAATCGTTGATCCATTCTCGTTCCCTCGATAAATAGATCAGGAACGTGGACGCACGTGGAAAACTCACGTTCGAATTTGAATCGTGGTTTAACTCGGAAGTGGACTCGAACCACTTGTTATTCTAATTGAACGGTAATTGCATCTCAGACAATTAATCTCTTTTGTTTACGTCTTTATCGCTATCCTTCTCGCACCGAGAGTACCGTTAAGCGTTTTATTAAAAGTTGTTGGCTCGCTGAAAGGTGGTTCGTTCTGAACCTGTTAATCACTCTTGCTAATTACGTGTTGTAGTTTCGTAACAAGTGAACGTGGGTTTATTACATTTTGAAGTTTTTAACGGATTTAGAAGAGAAATAATATATATATATTTTATATATTGTATATATTTCATTTTCTATCGTTAGATTTTTTCCAAAAGAATTTAATAATAAAATTTCGCGCGCAAGTAAAATTTGCTTAAATTAAACATTTTTTTTTTTTTTTTAGTTTTTGCTAAAAATGCTGAAAGAAAGATAACGTATCTCGGTAAGAGTAACTCATGTAACTCAATACCGACATCTGACGGAAATACCAGGAACTTGAATTATAGAACAGTGTAATAGAAACGATAAACGTTTATCTTGGCCGTTCGCCAACTGTTCTCTTTCCTTTTTTTCCTCAAGTTGAAGCGATTTATCCTGCTAATTATTAATCGATTCGCGGATAAATTAAAGTGTCTAACTAATTGCAATTTCGAAGCAATATCGAGAATATATTATTCACTATATAGAGTTCCTTTCTATTTTTTTTTTTTTTTTTTTTTT